GAACGGCCAGATGAACGGGTTGGCGAAGTGAAAATCGATTTGGAACGCGAACTCGATGTGGATGTAGATGGCAAGGAATCTGGTGGCGATACGTCCATAGGTTCGATGGTGGCATTCACAACACCTTGCTCAAAGTTGCTGCCCCCAATGGTGGCATCGTCATCAGATTCAGAGGCTGGGGAGCCTGGCTCATCGGAGCTGGTATCCTCATCGGAGGAGGAGCTGCTCGAGATGGTGGCACTGCGCTCACGAGCCCAACGGCGTTGCCTACGTACCTTACGCTTCTTGACACGTGGTGGGGCAGCATTGGTTCGACGAGAAGAATATGTTGCACCCTCCTCGGGCGACGACGGTGGTGACTGGGATTCGCGTTCAGACATTTTCGATGATTTCTTGATTGTTTTTCTAACACATTTATCTTCAGATGCTCTAAACGGTTTCCCTTCGCTGTCTTTGGGGTTTCCTTTTGTTTTTCTTGATAGTTTTCTTTAATTTTGTAGCAGACGCTGCACGTGTTCGTCTCTCTCGTTGGAATTTTTTTTTCGAAAAGGGCTTTTGGCAGCTTGTGGGGCCGCCAACTTGATCAAAAAAAATTATAAAAAAAAAACTCCATAAAGGAACTGTCCACCTCATCGGGCGTCAACTCTGAGTAAAAAAGGCAGGGCAACTCTGGTAAAAGTTTGAATTTGCTGGTATTTACTTTACATACCATATTGTATTATTTACAAACATTAAACTTTGGCATATTTTCGATAGTTATTGAACTGTACCTCCGAAAAAACATCCCAGAAATATAAAATAAAATTCTCTAAAGTTAAAATACGTTTCCATATGCTCTCAATCATTCAAAAAATCCAAAATATCTACGGAAGTAAGGCATATCTAGCCCCGTTTTGGCTTATCTACGTCTATAATTGGTTGGTCAATTAAAAGCCTTCCCTGGTCGGTATGAGCTTATATATATATATGTATCTTATTTTTGTAGATATTTTTGTGTTTATCAAATTCAATTAGCCAAAGCAAGCGGAATATAAGGCGGAAAACACTTGGCAACAAAGTTGCAATACAAAATACATAAAAAACTCGATGCACTTTATGCGTTAGAGTTCTAACTTTAGACAAAATTCATATAATTAACTAGATAAATTGGCAAGCAATTGGCTTGTACAGATCGTTAAGACAATTCGCTAATGATCTGCCAAGAGGACGGACTCTGCTAACGATCTCTCAGCCATTCAGCCTCTCCATCTCCTGCTTTTTGGCTAATTGGCCCCCCTGAAAGTGGCCATCAAAGTGGTAATTACGATCGTCGTCGTTTTCGTAGGAACGGCGATGAAGACATCACAGAGCGGCGCATTGCAGCTCACGAGAAGGGTATACTGCTTCCAGCTGTCTTAAATATTCATTTAGTTTTTGTTTTTCTGGTTTTTTTCTCGGGGAGTTTCAATTAAAGTTCCATTAACGCTTCGCGACACACACAATTATCAAAAATTATATTTATGCTTATGACATTTCCGGCAGAAAAGCAGCTAAACTCCACCTCCTTTCAGATTTCCCGCGTCTCGTGAGTCATTTTCATTTATTTCGAGACAGCGTCAGACGACAGAAGATCAAAGCGGCATATCCATCACCATATCGAGCATTCGCCAAGGGATCAAGGGATTGGGATAGCTTGGGATAGGAATCATAAGCAGGAGGAGGAGTTGCCTGTGTGCCCACTGTACAGGTGGAGTCACTGTGTGTGGGGTCACAGTGGGTGAAGGGAAACCTCTGACACTTATCTTTGGGTAACTAATAAATACTATACAATAAATACATAGATATAATAAATATTACATATAATAAATAAACCTACAGTTTAAATATTACATATGATAAATTATATTTCATGTATATTTCTATAATATTTATTGTTATTTAATATCTCTAAATAATTATTTAATATTAATTATAAAAATCGTTTCTTTGGGTAATCAATAAATATTATACAATAAATACATAAACATAATAAATAATATATATAATAAATAAACACACAGTTCAAATATTACATATAGTAAATTATTATTCATATATATTTTTATAATATTTATTTTTAATTAATATCTCTAAATAATTATTTAATATTAATCCTTTCTTTTTGGGTAATCAATAAATATTATACAATAAATACATAAATATAATATATATTATATATAATAAATAAACATAAAGTTCAAAGATTACATATAATAAATTATATTTCAAAAATATATTTCTATAATATTTATTGCCAATTATTATTTTAAAATAATTATTCAATATTAATTATGTAAATCCTTTCTTTGGATAATAGGAAAATTGGTTAATGTTATGCAAACTTTAAATTTCGATAACAATTAATACATCTTCCAACACTGTTGGACACAATCAGGGTTGTATTTGTGCAACAAACAGGGCTACATTCTTGCCACAAACAGGGTTGTGTTTTTGCAACAAACAGGGCTGCATTCTTGCAACAAACAGAGTTGTGTTCTTGCCACAAACAGGGCTGCAGAATTTTGTCGTTTACATTTTTAAAAGTTGAAAAATGTTCTTAACAAAAAATAAATAAAATATTTATGAAACAAAAAGAAAACAAACTAACAAATTAAAATTAACTACTAACTATTTAATGTTTAATTCATAAAATGAATTATATACTCCTTATTTTTTTCCTATAAAAAAACCCATAAACAACTTGGCTTACAAAGGGTTAAACTGAAAATTCTTTCAAAACCATGGATTCTTTTGGCCAAAACACACACACATTGACCACATAGAATTCCCAACTTCTCAGCTCCCAGCAGGAGATCTCTTTTTCTTTTTTTTTTCCTTTTTTTTAGGGGTAAGACAAGACATGGAAGGCGCATACGAATCCGATGATCTTGTGGCCGATACGAATCCCCACAAACTGCTACATTGGTCCAAAGCAACAACAGCAACAAGTCAAGACAAATTGTCTACGGGTTGAGGTCTTGCTATTGGCCTCCAGCGTGACGATGTCGGGTGCTACTGGCGCCACTCAGCGCCAAGAAAAACCAAGGAAAAAACCGAAAGAAAAAGAAAAAACAAAACCTAAGAAAAAAAAATAAAGAAAAACAGAGAAAACAGCAGCAGCAGCACAGCGAGGGCCACAAAGGGAGGTGGAAGATGTGGAGCCAGGTGAGGATTGGTTGCAGAAAACAGAGGCAACAGGCTGAGGCAGGGGCAGGGACTGTGGTTATGGCATGTGCCACCAAAAACCAAAACCAAAAACCGAACCAAACCAAGCATTCTGTCTGCGAATTGGTTTGTGATTTCAAAAGTCGTCTCTTTTAATAAGTATTTCGTTAGGAAATTAATTGAAAAATGTATTTCCTAACAGAAACTGTTGAAAACGAAAGAAGATAGAATGTTCTTCGGATCTAGGACCACAAATTAGCATTGAAAATAATAAAATCTTAAAAACCATTACAGAAATTTGTTTAAAAAAATTTCATTATTTAAAAAAATCTGTAGAAAATACAGTAGAATAAAGATAATTTTAAGACAAGAATGGGCAGCAAACGTTAAGCTGAGTTTATATACCCCTAAATTATCATTGAATTATAAAATCGCACAGGAAATCCATTATAACTAAGCTTAAAATATTGTAATTCTCAGAATCAATATTTATCCATATTTTTATACAATTTGTTCGCATAATCAAAGTTTAAAAATTTCATAACTATGCCAAAAAAGCCTTAATATAAAATCGGACAACTTTTCTATGTTAGTTTTTACAAGGTTAATAAATCTGCATACTCAGTTTAAAATGTTAAAAAATTAAAATTCTTGTCAATTTTTAAAAATTTTAACAATGTAACCCCTTTGAAAAAATGGAAATTTGTCAAAAAATATTTTTCTCTGGCGGACATGGCTAGATCGATTTGGCTTTTGATGCTGATCAAGAATATATATGAATTATAGGGTCGGAAATGACTCCTTCACTGCATTACAAGCTTCTGACTGAAATTATAATACCAATTTTTAAACCGATATTTATCTATATTTTCATATAAAATTTTCATAAGGTTTTCAGCTTAAAAATTGGTAACAACGTCGATGGTTTTTTGATCATAACTTGGCTTAAACTCAACCGATTTAAGTTTGATTTGAATTTTTCTTGTTGGTTTTTGTAGACGAACATTTCTGCATTTAAGTCTAAATTTAAGATTTTTGGTAAATTTTTGACAATTTTGACGATGAAAAAATTTAAAAAAAAAAATCTCAAAAATTGTGTTTCTTTAAAATATAGCTAGAAAGATTCGCCTGTTGATTCTGATCAAGAATGTATAAGATTTATAAGGACGGAAATAACTCCTTTAGTGGATTAAAAGCTTCTGACTGAAATTATAATACCCTTACCTTTCAAGGGTTTAAAAAGTACAACAAAAAATCGTTTGTTTTCCCCAACTAAATATCCTTTGTTTCCACCCATCTCTTTCAATTGTATGGTTCAATTACTATTTGCTTTAAACATTTCTAATTACTTTTTGAGCCATTAGAAACGTTTTTCCCTTTTGCAGATATTTGCTTTTATTTCTATTTATTAGCTCGCTTGCATTAGTCGAGTGCCTCATTTATGGCATGTTCTGCCTGAACTTTGTTCTCAAAACGCTTTTCAGTTAAGCAACCTGAGCCACCTGAGCGCTTTTGGCTCAATGAACCTACCTCCTCCTAACCCTTCCCTTTCCTTTCCCCCGCCCCCTCTTGGTTGACCTCGTTTTCCACGTTGTTGCTTTTTCCTGGAGTGCCGGAGAAGCCTTTTAGCCAAGGCATAAAAACAAAAAAAAGTGGAGAAAAATATACATATATGAAATGGAAATCTGTGGAGGTCTCTTAGCACTTCGTAGAGAGTTTAAGAGAGGGTGGGGAAAGTGTGAATTTGTTTCTAACTTTCTTTACTATTTGTTCTTGATTTTTTTTTTACCGCCCATTTAAAAGTTTATTTTGCCCACCTTGCAGAGGGCCACGCCCGTGTCCAAGCGATCCATAAAGTTCTCGGCATTGATGCTCAGCTCCGGATACAAAGTGCTTAGCCATTCGGCGAGATCCTCCTTCATGGCCTCCAGATACTCCTCGCTGGACTTGAAGGGCCTATAAGGCCGTGCCTCCAACATGGCCATAATGTGGTGTTTCTTTTGGGACTTTTTCAAAGAGAACTTCTCCTTGACTTTCGCTTTTTGTTAATTAGTTTTTCGTTGATTTCTTAATTTTGTTTAGAATCCTTTTCTAGCAAAATTTCGTTGGATTTTCGTTAATATTCGGGGGCATTGCGTCTCTTGGTCGTTTCGAATTAATTTGGAGAGATTTTTTAGAGCTGCAAGAAAAAGAGTAAATTGATTATTAGTAAAGTGAAAATTAAATAAGAATAGAGAGTCAGAACTTTGCTGCAATTCGCAAATTCTTACTGTCTTGCAGATTTGCCAGTAAAATGTCTAATAAATTATAAAAAATACAACAATGTTTTGTGATTTTTTTTTTGCACAAAATAATTCAACCCCGCAGAATACATGGAAAATAACAACAACGGCGAAAATTTATGATTGTGCCACTGCAGCTGACATAATTATGGGACACAAAACCGCAACGGCGGCAACAGAGACCGCCGCCAGCGGCAACAGCAGCGCCAACAACAAAAAGCACGGCTAAATCAATACACACAGACAAATGGTGAGGAAGTTATTAAACAATATTTATAAAAAAGTAGTCCTTTTAATTAATACTTTTATAACATTGCAAGGGTATTATAAAATCAGTCAGAAGCCCAAAACTAAGTGAAGAGTTCACTTCCGACCCTATAAATCTTATTATTCTTATATTCTTATATCTTATATTCTTGATCAGCATCAACAGGCGAATCTTTTAAGCCATCTCCGGCCGAAAACAAAAGTTTTCAGAAATTTCGCATTTCGCATGAGATTTTTAAAATTTGATTTGTCGAAAAATTTCAAATAAAAATATTGTTAATATCGGTACAAAAATGGTAATGGGCCTTTAGTCAGAAGCTTAAAAGAAAGTGAAGGAGTCATTTCCGACCCTATAAATATATTATATATATATATTCTTAATCAGCATCAACAGACGAATCGATCTGGGCATGTATGGAAGAAAAATAAATTTTAGAAATTTTTTCAATATTTTAAAATTTTCAAAACATTTTCAAAAAATTTGAATTTTGTTTAAGTTTTAAACAAAGTATGCAGATTTATTAAAAATATAAAAAGTAACACGGGACATCTTTCCGAATTGAATTTAATGCTTTTTTGGCTTAGTTATGAAATTTTTAAACATTTGATTTGTCGAAAAACTTGTCACATAAAAATATGATTACTTTTTTTAATTATTATGATATTTTTGCAAGTGTAGAAATAAAATCAATACATAAAACATAAAAGTGACTCGCGGCACAGTCGTCGTCTGTCGGTTACTTGAAAAAGCCTCAGACTCAAACTCGGCAGCGGTACCTCCAACCTCTAGAGATTGGTATTGGGATTGGGACGGGGCGCCAGGTTTATGGCAGCATTCCGCTCATTAAAAAACTGGCACCTACCATATATACTTTTGTAGATATATATATACTATATGGAGGTATATATGTATATTCCAGTGACTAATTAGCGGTGAACTGTGAACTTCAAGGAGGAGAGGAGAGAGAGAGATTAATGTCGGGACATTTATCGAATTATCGTTGCATAAGGAAGCCGCCAATAAAATACTACAGAAAAAAGAAAACAGGATCTGTGACCTTGAATGGAGTAATGCCCCGCCCACCAAATTAATCCTTAACAAAGATAAAATCAACAGGAAATCGCAGGAGAAACTTTTGTTTCTTAAAGCTGATTTTTTAATAAAAACTTGTAAAGAGAAAGAGTTTCAAGAAGATACCGAAGGGTTTTAGGAAACAATTAAGTAGGGAAAAGAAGGTAGGAAATAAGGATATATATAAAGATATTATGATTCAGTTTGCAAAGATATAATAATTGCGGAAAATCAAATTTTTACAATCCAATCTTGCCTATAATTTATACCATTATCTTTATACTTTATATAAAATTCCTATATCATAAGAATCTATAATAACAGTATACCAGGATTTTACCAGGACTAACCTAGGAATAAACAAGGAATTTACTAGGAATAAACCAGGAATATATATTATAAATAAATAAGGAAATTATCAGAGCTAAACCAGAAATAAATCAGGAATTTACCAGAACTTAGACAGGAATTTACCAGAAATAATAAGTTATATACCAGTACTTTACCAGGAATATTACAATAAAAAAAAACAAACTAAAACCATCCAAGAGAAATTTAGCAAGAGAAGAAAATAAATGGTATATATTTGCCAATGTTTTCGTTGGTGTTTCTGTGTATTAAAAGTTTTTTATAGGTTTTTGTTTTTTGCATTAAATGTTTTTGTATATCTTTGTATTTGTATTTTTTTTTTCGTATTATTTTGTACCGTATCTTACTGTATTTAATTCAGCTTCGATTTGGGTGCATTAAGTGTGTGCCTTGCGTAACCCCCGATTGGCCGATGAGGCTCGAGGCTGGAAACTCTCTGGGCTCTGGTCTTAATTAAGGCGCAACAGCGTTTTATTTTTGTATTATTTTTATATTTCTTTGGCCAACACTTACGTGCATGTTTGGGGGAATCCAAAGTTGGATTTAGAGATTCAGAGATCGGACAAGTACAAAAGGCTGGCCATATGTGTGTATTGGCTAATTTGTTGGCCATTGATGAGGGACAAGCAAACGGATTGCCAACCCGACCCCCGGGTGGTGACCAAATTCGCATCTCATCTCCCCAGATTTCACTTTTACATGAATATATATATATATAAACACATATTGCCTAGATCGATCAGTGAATCCAGTCAGTATTCACATGCCACGCCCCCCCTGCTGGCACAAGAAAAAATAATGAAAAGAGTCGCAAAAACGCTAAAAACACATTCGAGACAAACGAATATGCAAATGTTCGCTTCGCTGGCCTTTTGTTCGAATGATTAGCGGTATTTTTGAAAGTGAATTTAATTAAAAAAGTGCGCACCAAGCACAACAACACATACACCAACACATACACCAACACATACACCAACAAATACACCAATAGTTTGCATAGGATGCGTCTCCCATACAAGACTTAACATTCCATTCGCAAATCTCTTTCTCTACTTATTTTTAGGCAATGCAACTCTTTAACTTTTATTTTCTAACCATAATCAAAGCCTCTTATTTGTAGTTCTGTGTGGACACTATTGTGTAAATTCAATATCTTATCTAACTCAAGTTTACATATGATGAAATAGTATAATAATAAACTATATGGAACTATTTACCGGAAAGGTTCTCAAGTAGCTTTTGTTTGCTTACCCTTAGAGTCGTAATAGATATTCCCCAACCATTTCTAATTTAATTTTCAAGGCCCTCTCTAAGTTTAACAAAACCTAAACAAAACCTTAAAAAAAATCCCCAACAATTTCCCACAACTTCCAACTATTTTTTCGTATTTCTTTTTCTTTGTTTTCCCTTATTTTTCTCCACCTCCATCTTAACAATGGAGGCCAGAGACAAGTGTGAATTGCCGGAATGACAGTAAAAGTGATCGAGAGTGTGAAGCCGATAACAGCAATGGCTATAAAAACAGTGAGTATGGAAAATATGTTATAAAAGTAACGCATTCAATTCAGTTGTTGTGCTTGTTGTTGACTTTTTCAATTAACAATTACAAACGTCGCAGAAAGATACAAAAGTTTGGTTTGCCATTGCATTCGTATCTTTCGTATTTTGTATTTGTAGTTGGGTCATGTCTTTGGGTTTCCCAACACCCAAGAGTTTTGTTTTGTTTTTTTAGAGTGCCTAGGGAAAAATATATACATAAAACTATCTCTTACAAGTCCTAGAAATACTTGGTATTTTGCAGGCTTTTAATTAGCTTTGATGGTTAATGGTGTAAGTTTAAGATCAAAAGAAAGGGATTATGAAAAGTTTCGATAAATTATCGATAAATTAATAAACGATAAATGGAAAACAAATAAATAAGGTTTAAATTAATATATGAATAAAAATGTGATTCGCGTGAAATAACTACAAAGCTTAAATGGGTAAAATTACATAATTATATAATTTCAATTCAAAAACTCCTTAAAAAACACCATTTAATTATAGCTCGAAAATAATTCCAGGTATATTTAGTATACAAAAAAAAAAAAAAGATAAATAAAAGGGAATATTTAATGAGTTTAAAAAATCAACTTATTATCTAAGCTGTGCAAATTAATCTCCAAATTGCACTTTTTCCTCAGTGCCAGTCCCCAAAAAAGGGTATCCTCAATCAATTTAATCACACAACTCACTTCACTCACATCGTTTATACCCCATATATACACACACATGTGTATATTTCCCCCTCTATTAAACATATTATATATTTTCCTTTACCATGCCACCCAAAACGTTCAATGACACTTGAAGCGACAATCGAAACGATTTCATTTCGAGGCAACACACAACATTCAATGGGGAGTTTGCTTCACACTCCCACAAAAAACAATAAAAAAAAAAAAGAAGAAATCATAAATAAATATACTCCCATATATGTATGTACGATATATGCAATCTGAACTTGATGCACTCGCATCTGTCAGAAAAATTTCAGTGTCGAATATGGGGGCTCCGTGGGCCATGATTTTGACAGCGATGCAGTGCAGCTTGTCGGTGTCGAGGGGATTCCCCTTACACTCTCGTATCTCGTTCAAGTGCCAAAGTTATTTTCACAAGTTATTATCTATCCATTTTTCCCCTTTTTTTTCAACCATTGAGCCGGCAACAACAATGGTAACACACACACACAAGTACTTGACACGAGAAAGGAGGTGTGAGTTGCCTTCTCTTCCCCCCCAAAAAAAAAAAAGAGATTTCCCCAAACCTAAAAACCTAAAGCCATGGCTCTTTTGCATACAACAAACACTCCTTTACTCCTTTACTCCTTTACTCCTTTACTCCTTTACTCCTTTACTGCTTTACTCCTTTACTCCTTTCGGAGACTCCATCCGCCCTGCTTCCTTTGTCCGTTGATGCATTGTCATCCCCTGGCACATTCCACATCAGAAAGTACGATGATCATCATCATCATCATTGTCAGGCGTCATGTCGCGGCATTGCCATAAATGTCAGCACTATATATATATATCCCTATATTCTCTGCCACCTCCTAGATTTTTCCCCTCCAGGTTTTTCCCACCTCCTCCTAGTCGTCGCTCATTTGGTTAAATGCACTTGGCGGAGGAGTTTCCTTTTGTCTCCGTTCCA